CGCTCACATTGTATTGACTAACGCCAACCTATAATTGTCTGACATTTGACACGTGACTCAATAGATATTTGCCACAGATAAATATAAAAGTCTATTTCCACATATGTACTTTACCGTTAATGATCCATTCTCTCAATTAGTAGACAATAGACATCGAATTTTTAAAGATCATTTTTTAATGAACATACCTAGTAAGTGTACATGTGAAGAAATCACGACAGATGTATCAAAACTATAATACTAGAACGAAATGTACTATCGCCATAAAGATCCGTACTTGCTGGCTTCAAGTTCGACAAATACATTTAATTAGTTGCATTATGAAATCCCTAATCAAATAAAACAATTCCTATTTAATCCATTAGAAACAATTTCGTAAGTTTACTTAATGTACATTGTAAGATATCTCTCATGTGTATTATTGTATTAAATCACTTTAAGGCGAATTAACTCGCAACATTGGTACAAGCAAAAGGTTAACATAATGATGCATAACATAAAAATTAATAATCTCACGGAATGTCCAACATTTGAATGGTACTCCGCTCCGAGTGAAGAAACATATACTCAATAGCTGTTTCATGCTAATTCGATTGTTAAGAAAAATATTAAAAACATCTTTACATGTTAACGATACGTATAATAGTAATAAATAAAGGAAACATCCTATTGAATTAATTGATGCGAATATTAACAACATAAAATCGATTTTATCATTTTTAATTTATATATTGCAAAATATTCAAAGTTGTCGACAAACAAAACGATGTCATTGATAAGCATATACCAATAAATGTAATATTTATTAGAAGACAAGGGAACAAACGCAACTAACTGGATGTCTAGCTAAAAATAAAACAAAAGAACTTACGATTCAAATCAAACAGTGACTGCGAAGAGAGCGCTTAGGCAAAAGCCCAGGGCACTGGACAAAAGAGACTCCAAAGATCTGCAAATTAAACAGTATAATATAATCCAATTGACCCGTAACAAAGTTGCCAATCCCAAAAAGGGGGCTTCGCAGAAATCTCGTCTAGGGCACTAGTAGCCTTAAAATTTTAAGCTAAAGGTAGCCACTAACAAGAACTGACGTACTTCTTGTTTTGATAAATATTTGAAAACCTTAAAATATTAATAGCAAAAATTTAAGAATCCAATCCAAACTGTTTTACAGGACTTTTGACGCTCTGCATCAAAACGAATTCAATCAAACACGATCTATTTAACTTTTGCCTTACGTCAGTAAACAACAGCAATGATAATCGAGTCACGTTTAACGCAGCATTTAAAACTATGTGAAAAACTCGTATGAATAATAAACAAATTGAACCACGATTTGAAGACATATGAATTCCGTCAGTGTACTCGTAATTCGAATCCGCATCGAGTCGTTTATCAATATTTGTTGCATTTTAACCTTCGTAACTGTTACAATGAAATTATACCAAGACAGTTGTATTTTCTGGAAGAATGATTTGACAATAAGTTCTTCTACCATTCTCTATTTCTGTTTCGAGTAGTTAGTTTGATCGTATCATGTTCTCAATTTCTAATGTCAACAGTTTTCCAAATCTTACTAATATTATAAATGTGAAAGTCTTAACTTTATTAACTTAACGGATGGATGTTTTTTATATTTTGTAGTATAAACGGCTAAATGGATCACAATGAAATTTGACATAGGTGTAGAGCATAGTCTGGAAAAACACATTGACTACTTATTTTTTTTATTCCTATCAGTCGGAGTACAGACCAAAGCTAGTTCTACAGTAATTTTGTTAGTAAAATAGTATTCTGTAAGCTATTACTTGAATTAAAAACACGGAGAACGTCTTTTACAAGGCCATTTTATCTACGTATCAATAGTTAATTAAGTAGTTTAAAAATCATTAATTACTTTGAACCATACAACGACGCTAATTTACGTTAATGCAATAATATAGTCATTACCATAAGAGTATTTAAAAAATATTTAATAGTCAATCAACTATAATTAACGTAATAATTAGTTATAACTATTTTTGACTAGCTTACACAAATATTACAATGCTTATGTTAAAATGCCTAAAAAATTTTAGCCCATTCACACATAAGGTAATGGACATCTGCGATTTTAGTCATTTGTGTGATCGTTTTACGTAAGTCGCTTAGAAACTAAAATCGCAGATTTGTTTAACCATTTGTACGAAAGGGCTTACGGTAAACAGCGCAGTCTTCCCTACTCGTATTTCTATTTAGATTTAATAATGCATATTGTAAATGTGGCAACTGAAGCCTAATTGTAGGTAATAAACAAGGACGATGAAGTCACGTAAACGTGAGCCAATATTCGAGCTATCTTCTCAATTTAAAGTGGTATCTTTTGGAAATCGTTTTGCACTTTACTAGATTTAACTATTCCTTATGGGATTAAATTAAATAGTATGGTGGTAAAAAATAGCATGGAAAGAATGAAATGAATAATCTGTTAGTATAACTCCTTTGTGGGGAAATACCTTACACATACCGGATAAAATATAACTGGCTATTTTGTCATATTACAGGCGAATTTGACATCGATGTAATTTTTTCATTATCCGCAGAAGTCAAATGGTAAAAAGTCACAGGCTACTTACGACGCCAGAAAAATTACATTGAACTTTACCTAAACTGAACTTTGATCTTTAGATATTTGTTACATGTTGATGTTTTCAATATGTTTTATGTGTTTGTCAATCAAAACAATGTTGGTTGGTTTTACACCTTTCATTAAAACCGATAACGGCTTATCTTTGTTATACAATTTTCGCAACAAACGTTGAAACAGCAGGGAGTCTAAATGTTACTATCTCAAATCTGGTGATGACCAAACTGGCATTGTAAAGCAACATTGTTTATTTGTTAAGGATTTACTGCTCGTACGATATAAGCTATTCAGTTTTGAAGGTAAATCATATACAATTATATGTTAACAAGTAGCTACCATTTAGATGGAGTAAGTTTTACATCGATAACTGATCACATAAGTAACCTTTGGTGAAGGAAAGCATCGTGATGTAACCAGCACATATCGGCGAAGAAATTCAAAGATATGTGTGAAGTCAACCAACCCGCAGTGGGCCAGCGTGGTTGACTATGGCGTAGTCACCCCTTACTTAGCATAGGCTCCGAGCCACTCGGTGGGGACATATAGTGAACTGGTGATGAAGTAACCTTTAACTATGACTAACTGGTGAAACTTGTGTCACACAAGCTAGCCCAGCAATTATCTACGGGAACGTAAGAGGTGACGTTTTGTCAATTTTATGTTAATTTTATGCTCGCAGCCTTTGTAAAGGCCATATGTCGGCGTAACTTTATCCCAGATTTTAAATTTGGTTATTAATGTTGCTTATATTAAGATGATGTCTTTATTTTTTGGTAAATATTGCCATAGGAAAAATCATATATCAAGGAAAATCTTATTTTTAAAGAATATATACTGTTTTTGTTTTTTTTTTTATATTTTCATTAGATTGCACAATATCTGAACACGCATGATACATTTAAAGCAATAAAAATGGATTACAACAATAAAATGTCTACTAAAGTTTATCAACATATATAAACTATAAAAATCCAGAATCCAAATCAGTTTTTAATCAAGATCAAGTATAAATATTGTGTAATATCTGTGGTACTTACCACGATAATTTTTTATATTCTTCATTAACTGAAGTTTCTTTTTCGATAATGAATCATCATCCTTCTTATCTTACTCCAGTAGGGTTGGCGCGACAGGTTTTTATCCTCAAAATAACTCTATCATACGTCATCTCAGTCATCACTCCCTTCTTGATCATGTCACCTTTCACGCAATCCATCCATCACTTTCCAGGTCTACCTCTAGCGGTGTATCCACACTCATAACTAACGTTCTCCTTGTAACATGCGATTCATCCCTGCTCTTGCCCATACCATGCTTACCTTTTACTCCTTACCTTCTCTACCACTGGGGCTACTCTCAAACTTCCTCTAATGTACTCATTTCGTATTTTATCCATTCGTGTTTTCTATAATGAATATAGTCTATACTAATATAAGATGTCAGCAATTACAGCACATTTTTGAATAACTCTTTCTTTAATAAAAAGACCTACACTACCGTAACGCTTTAGGCTATATATTTTTACGTCATTACACTTAGGGGTAAATATTTTTGATAAAAAACCTAATGTGGGAAAGAGACAATAAGGAATCAAGGTTGCCATGGTTTGACATCATGTCATGTCATTTTGACATTTGCAATTGATAATTTGACAGATGTAAACAATAAAATGATTTTTTTTTTATAATTACATGAGGATGAAGTCGCATGGGAACAGCTAGTTTTAAATACATGCCATTATCTTCAAACTTTGCTACAAACACAACTCGTTTCAAATTAGCACCATTGCGAAACGTTATGCCGTTAAAACTTAAAGTTATTGAACATCTTTTAAATAACTTAACGAAGTCATCAATTTTATTTAACGTCTTCATGTCCTTATATTAATAACCTAAAAAAATCTTGAACAAATTATTTTATTTAGCACAACTCTTTTAATGTGCTTCAAAAAAATTTATTTGGACTCTATAATTGTAATGTCATTTACGTATTTGTTTCCTTGGCGATTTGTAATATTAATTTTACATCTAAATCCCTTCTTTCTGTCTTATTTTTAACATAACTGTCCACCCTTTAACAGTAAGAGGGAACGCATGTTATGCAGATATTAATAATTTTCATACGATTTAACATAGTTAATAACTTAATGTTTATAATACTTTTATAGTCGACAACGTTACAAGGAAATAGGTAGATATGAAAGAATTCACTTTACAAGATTTCAGTACTAAGAAATTTATGTAGTACTCGCATCAAAAGGACTAATTGTTTCAAGGCGGTAATGTTGCAGATGATGCGTAATGTCAGTGGGCAAGCTTGTGTTGCATCTGTGAAGCTATATAAGCACTTTCACTATGCCAGCGGCCTAGTCGCGGGATGATACCCCGATACACGCACTCTGACCCCAGACATCGCGCGGTACGGACAAACACATATCTGTTTTTTTAATAAAAAAAAATAGTGCCAGTGACTTTGTGTCGTGATTTTCGTGTGTGCAAGGTGAGTTATAAATATTTGTTTTTTATTATTATTTATATTAACCCTTAATAGTTTACAAAATTTGTTAAACCTGTTTTAAAGTGCATAATTTTTATGTTGTTTTTCAATATTTTAAAATTATAATTTCTATAAGTAGAATTAAATGTATTGCGAAATTCAATATTGAAAATATCAAAGCGTAATTAAAATCACAGACGTATTTTTAATTTACATTTTACAATTAAAAAATCATTACAAAGAAAATTGTCCACTCGTAATTTATCACCGGTGCGTTTTCAACCAAAAGACATCAACGCACGCTCGCCGGAAACATTACAATATCGGTTAAATAATACAGATAAGGATGTTGCCAAAAGACAAACGGACAAACCTTTTTTAACTATAGAGAGAAGGCACAATTCGTAAATTATTTAACCTAAGTTTAACAGCAATAAAATATTACCAGTATTTTGTAACTATTTAATTAAATTATTTTTGAAATAACTTAAAAAATAGCTCTAAATAGCGTCTATTTCTAGATATATTGGAGAATACTGCTAAGATATAATTTATGTATAAATTACATAATTAAGTGCGTAAATATTTTGTCGAACTTAAGACGATTCTAACCACACCAAACCTATAAAAATATCGGTAACTCTGATAGTAAATATAGGTACTGTCGTAAATACCTACATAATCTAACACTAATGTCATCGGCAATAAACAATTACGCAAATGCTCTTAAGAGCTTCATAAAGCCTGCTTGGTATTCATCGGTCGAGTCATCGGAGTGCGTTGACAGTTAAAGGTTGAGATGCTCGTATTGAAACATTTATTCCCATGCAAATGTATTACTAAGCCTTCAATTATTTGTACATAAGCAGAACTAGAATGTTATCTCTTTTTGTCACTTCCCTATATAAATAATTTTAAATGTTACTCTTCAACGTTGTGACATTTTCGCAATATTTTCATCTCTCCTTTCTTTAACCGTACCCTTTAGTGACACTTTAAGTGTTAAAGTTTACAAATAAGTGATTCTTCCCTTCTTATATCTATACCCTACCTAATTAGGCTTACTAATAAATAAGAGAAGGGAAGAATGACTTGTGGAATCTTAAAATATTGCAGATTAAACACCACTTACTCCTTAATCATATCTCATTAGAAGTAGAATGTTACCTCAGTATTATTTTTCATCCAACTCAATTCAACTATATTCTCGACAATGTTTTAAACTACAAACTCGAAAATATGCTTAAGTCTGACATAATATTCATAAAACTATCTCCGCGGTAAAGATAACACAAATATTTTAAAGGCTTTCGTGACATAATGTGACCCACAAAGGCCTATTGACATTTTGCCAGCCGCCCAGATGAATCGACATTATCATTTTTATATTTGAATATTATCGCTTATTCGAAGATTTATAACAATTTCTAATAATAGCTTGCATCTTAAATTGAAACTAATTCTTTGACACCAAAGATAAGTTACATTTTCTCCGAGTTTTCAGTAGAGGGAATTGTACAAAACATACTTTTATACCGCTAATTTTCTTAGAAATGTCAAACATAATTAAAACTTTAAATTATACTTTTTAATTTACAACTTACCTCAAAACAACTGCAATAAAATAATTACAACTTTATACTACACTTACAACTTAACAAGTTACAACAACGAATGATGTGTCTTACTGTCATATTTTAAGGCCATACTAAAACTCTATACTCCAGAATGAAACAGATTTAAAATTCGTTTCAAAATTCTGCCGTTACCTAAATATTACTAGTATATGTTACATATTTTAGTTATTTTGTATCTAAATTATTTAAGAATGCTTAATATGTTAGGACAATTAGATTACATAAGAAAGTTAAAGTCGGTTCACACTGCAACTAATTCGTTCATTCAGATCTAAACTGTCTTCCTTGACGTCTCGTCGGAACGTTATAAACATTGCGGTGGAATCGGCGCAAGACAATTGCGACCATTCTCAGGCCATTCTCACGCTTGTTAACATAAGTATTACAAAATTAAAAAAATACTATTAAGCAATGAAGAAGATAAGTTTACGTGATCCGAAACCGCAATCCGGATTACGATGAGCTTCAAACGATTAGATCTTATAATTGTTTTAGACTTTAAGCCTAGAAAGAGATAAATTGCGTGAATGGCGACGTGAACGGAAGGAAAAATAAAATAAGAATAAATTAAGGATTCATATTTAAAAGCTATTACTGGTAAGCAACACAACTAGGTAATTTATTAAAATTATTAGCTGTTCCCAATAGACTTCATCAGCATGGAATTATAAAAATTTTATTTTATTGTTTAAAAGTGTCAAATTATCAATTGCAAATGTCGAAATGACATGACATGATTTCAAATCATGGCAACCTTGCTTCCTTGATGTTGGCAACAACTTATGGTCTCTTTCCCACATTAGGGTTTTATCCAAAATATTTACTCCCTAAGTTTAATTGCGTGAAAATATATAGCCATATGCGTGACGTAAGTGTAGTGCTTTTTATTAATATGCGTTGATTGCTGACATCTTAGGCAACAATGAAGTATTTGTTTACGCTTTATTATAATAGTATAGATTAGTTGGAATTAGATTCAATCGAATTGTATAATTTAAACATATGTAACAATAGTTTTACTACCTTAAATACCGTGCAAATAATTACGCACTTCAAGAACAAAATTGACATTACTAAATATTTTTCTAGAAATTCTACTAAACAGTAAAATGGGAATAAAGTTCAATTGATATTGACCTACATAAACATAAAACTGTTCAAGGAAATAATTATAATCATTGGTCTGTGCATCTCAACAATGTTACGGAGGAATCTCATTGTCTGTCCACGAGGTAAAATACGAGTACGTGAGCGGCGTATGAACTTAGTCTCTTTAAACAAGACCGCAAGCATTTATTCAAAAGAACAAATAAAGACCACTCAGAACAGTATCAATTAAAAATAAAATAATTTAACAGGGGACGATTAAATGTTTGAAATATTTTTTTTTGTGAGTCGCCAAGTTCAAATATCCTCCAAGTTTAAAAAAAACTAAAAAAATTTGTACCTGCTAGAATCTTATCGGATATCCAATTTATATACGAATAATATAAAAATAATATCTACCAGATATATTTATTACGAGCTGTCGCCCCCAAACTTCGTTAGCGCAAATTTGGACCACCCGTTCCGTCATTTTGACAAGGCGCATT